AGGATTGTTGCATAGGTAAATACATGGCAATGTGGTTTTTGCTGCCTCCATCCCTCCATCGCCTGTATCTGGCATTTCTCCCCATGTTATCCCTCCCCAACCTCCCCACCTTTGGATGATTTCTTATTGCTCATTAACATCCTCTTTTTTCATATTGAAGAACTCCCTTTAGCATTTCTCGTAAATGTAAACAGGTCTAGTGCTGATGAAATTCCTCAGTTTTTGTTTTTCTGGGAAGGTACTTTTATTTCCCTCAGGCTTGAAAGATATTTTCACTAGATATACTATCCTAGAGTCAAACTTTTTTTCTTCAGCACTTTGAACATTTCGTGTCACTCTCGCTTGACCTGTAAGGTTTCTGCTGAAAAGTCTCCTGCTAGATATATCGGAGTTCCATTGTATGTTGTTTCTTTTCTTTTGCTGCTTTTAGGATCCTTTCTTCATCCTTCATCTTTGGGAGTTTGATTATTCGTAAGTCAAACTCCCAAAGGTCATCATTAAACTATTAAATACCTTGAGGTAGTCTTCTTTGTGTTAAATCTGCTTGGCATGCAATAATGTTCTTATACTTGAATATTGGTATCTTTAACTAGGTTTGGGAAGTTCTCTGTTATCCCTTTGAATAAATGTTTTACTCCTATTTCTCTCTCTACATACTATTTAAGGCCAATAATTCTTATTTTACTTTTAGGTCATTTAAGTCTTAGATTTCCCTTTCCAGAGTATTTTCTAGATCCAGCAGGCATGTTTAATCATTTTTAATTCTTTTTCCTTTTGTTTCCTCTGTGTATTTTCAAAAAGTCTGTCTTCAAGCTCACTAATTCTGCTTCATCAATTCCACTGGTGCAAGACTCTGGTGAACTCTTCAGTAGATCATTATATTTTTCAACTCAAGAATTTCTGCATGATTCTTTATCATTATTTAAATTTCTTTGTTAAACTTATCTGATAGGATTCTGAATTCTGTCTTTGTGTTATCTTGAATTTTTTTGAGTATACTCAAAACATCTATTTTTAATTGTCTGTCTGCAAGGTCACATATCTGTCTCTCTGGGATTGGGCCTGGTGCCTTATGTAGTTCATTTGGTGAGATCATGTTCTTCTGCATGGTTTTAATGCTTGTGGGTGTTAGGACAGTTAGGTATGTATTGTAGTCTTCACAGTCTGGACTTACTTGTACCTGTCCTTCTTGGAAAGGCTTTCCAGGGTATTCAAAGAGACTTGGGTGTAATGATCTAAGTTGTTGGTCATTGCAACCATATCTGGATTAGGGGTTACCGTAAGCCCCGTAACACTGTGGTTCTTGGACACTCACAGAGATACCGCTTGGTGATCTTGGATAAGATCCAGAAGAATTCTCTGAATTATCAGGCTGAGACTCTTGTTCTTTTACCTTACTTTCCCCCAAATAGAACCTTTCTCTCTCTGTACTGAGCTGACTGGAGCTGGGGGAGGGAAGACACAAGCACCCCTGTTGTCATCACAACTGGGACTACCCTGGGTAAGACCTGAAGCCAACATAGCACTGAGTCTTGCCCAAGGCCCTATGTAACCACTACCTGGCTACTGCCTATGTTCACTCAAGGCCCTGGGGCTCTATAGTCAGCAGGCACAAAGCCAGCCAGGTTTGTATCCTTCTCTTAAGGGTGGTGAGTTCCCCTGGGCCCCAGACAGGTCCAGAGATACTGACTAGAAAATAGGGCCTGAAGTTGGAAAATCCACCTGGTGGTCGTTCTACTGCAGCTGAGCTGGCACTGAAACTACAAGACAAAATTGTTCCCACCCTTTCCTTAGGCAGAAGAATCTCTCCCCTTGTCCACCACTATCACAGGCCCATGGGGAATACTGCCAGGGTTACCACCACTGTTCATTTAAGGCCCAAGGGCTCCTCAGTCAGCTTATGGTGAATGCTGACAGGCCTAGGACTCACAATTCAGTGCAGTGGGCTCCCCTCTGGTCAGGGAAGGTTCCAGAGATGCCATCTAAAAGCCAAGCCTTAGGCTGGGTGTGGTGGCTTATGCCTGTAATTCCAGCACTTTGGGAGGCCGAGGTGGGTGGATCACATGAAGTCAGGAGTTTGATACTAGCTTGGCCAACTTAGTGAAATTAGCCATGTGTGCTAGCTGGTGGTAGATGACTATAATCCCAGCTATTCAGAAGGCTGAGGCAGGAGAATTGCTTGAACTCAGGAGGCAGAGGTTGCAGTGAGTTGAGATCATGCCATTGCACCCTAGTCTAGGCAACAAGAGTGAAACTCCACCTCAAAAAAAAAAAAAAAAAAAAAAAAATCCAAGGCTTGGAATTGGAGATTCCAATGCTCTTCTTGACTATAGCTGAGCTGGTATCTAAGCTGATTTTTTGTTCTTATGAAGGTGCTTTTTATGTAGATAATTGTTAAATTTGGTATTCCTGTTGGGAGGATGATCAGTGGAGGCTTCTATGTGGCCATTTTTCTTGGTCTCCTCTCTCAAATTAATTAATATTTTTGAATGAATAAATGACGGGAAGTTGAATATGAGAAAAGAGGTAGTTATTGTACTTACTTGTATATTTGTCACATTTCTACCAGCAATGTGGTTTTGAAGACATATTCACCCAACAGCTGGTGAAGATATGGGCTTTATTTACATAATAAAAGATATATAATTGAGATTCCAAACAACATATTTAAAAATAGAAAGTTCACATCATAGGATAGTGGTTACCTCCATTAATTGCCTAAATGGCTTTTATCTATGCTTCTCCATCTGGCAAATAAATTATTTTCCTTAGGAATAAACATGTTGAAATATCATTAAAGATATACTTTTTTTTCCTCTTGAAAGTGAAAACCCATAATTCTTTTAAATATTTCACTTACTTTCTCTATACTTAATTTACTAGGGCCTAATAAAAGGGTAAGGCAGGAAGAAATCCGCATTATTTCAAAGGACATCTCTTCAGCAAGGAAAACATTTTGCAGGAAACCCTATTGATTAGCTTGCTACCTACTTTATTGACCTAATAGAGAGACTGATGTAAACAACAGTTGATGATAATGTTATGAAGGCTACATATTTAAAATAAAATTGTTTACAGAGCAAATGAGAGGTAGAAGGCCATATTGAAAATATATACCCATTATTCAATCTACTTGATGGATTTTGAATTTGATCATATTTCTCAAAGCCTAGAAGCTAAGTCAGTGGTGATAAGATCATTTTGTGGTATAATTGCCTTGACATCTTCTACTCTTATTTTTATTTTTTGAGACAGGATGTTACTCTGTCACCACAGCTGGAGTGCAGTGGCATGATCATGGCTCACTATAGTTTCAACCCCCTGGGCTCAAGTGATCCTCTCCTCTCAGCCTCCCAAGTAGTTGGGACCAGAGGCACACACCACCATTTTATCTTTTAAAATTACAGAGATGGGTTTGTAGAGATGGGGTTTCGCCATGTTACCCAGGCTGGTCTCCAATTTCTGGTCTCAAGTGATCTGATCCACCTGTCTTGGCCTCCTAAAGTGCTGGGATTACAGGCACAAGCCACCATGCTTGGCCAATACCTTCTACTTGTAAAGGCTCAAAAGATATGCAGAATCCCCAGGAATGAAAATAAATATAGTTCACATCTATAACTATGCTTGAATTAATAATGGTCCTTGCCATCATGGAGTTCCTAATCTAGCTGAGGACATAAATGTATAAAAAGTAAATTTGTATGCTACAATATAAACAAAGATCTACAGAGATGTAAATGTTTATGGCCCATTACTTCACTGAGAGTACATGTAAGTCAGGGTGCCAAGGAAGAGAGGAGAGAGATGTGGTTGAAAAGTGAATTTGGTGGGAGTATCAAACAAGGAGACATAATCCAAGTGTTAGTGTATTAGCAGTAGCTGCAGTGAACCAATGCTGGTTGTCTTTCAATTAAGTATTTATGCTCTGCTAAGCACTCTTCAAGCTTACTCTTCACCACAACAAAATTTGCAAAGAGATGCTTAGCTCATAAAGGGAGCCACAGGAACTGCACTGAGGTACAAACTCCTAAACATGATACATGTTTTCTACACAGAGAGAGCAAGAGCACACGTGCGTGTGTGTGTGTGTGTGTGAGAGAGAAATTTAAAGTTTTCAATTAAGTCTGTGACAGTAGTAATAATGAAGAGTTAATCAGCCTAAGAGGCAGTTTATAAGTGGAATCAAAGAGATTTGGAGGATAAAGTGACATTGGGTGGTGAGAAAAGGCTCTGAGAATGAAGAGGTGGCGATTTTCATTTGATTGTTTGGGTGAAGGATCCTTTCCTCAGGAAATGGGCTGGAGAAAGAAGTTACAAATTTAGGTTTGAAAATATGGTTTTGAATCAGTTGTAGGGACATCCAGATGGAGATACCCATCTTGGAGCTATAAATACTTCTCTGAAGCCCTGGAAAGACATGAAATCCGAGACGGAATGATTGGAAATCTTGAATGTGGTTGAAATCACAAAAGTGAATGAAATAGCCTACAGTTAAGGAAGGCACCACGGGTCAACTCAGTTTTTAAGCTGGCAATGTCAGAGGACACAGTGACGCAGACTAAGCAAATAGAAGCACCAGGGAAGGGAGATGTCAGGGAAGCTGAGATCTCCGGGTTCAGTCAGCATTGTCAAATGCTGCAACACACACACACACACACACACACACACACACACACACACACACGTTAATAAGGAGCGGGGCTTCATACAAAGCCACATATTTTATCTTAAGCCAAAACTAGGCTATTCACAGCTATATAGTCGACTTCCGCTTTTTATTTTGTTTTGTTTTTAAATGAGATGCCAATGTTTCCCACTCGCGTTCTCCTTCATCGCCCTTCCCTTTCCTCCCTTCTTCCATGCAGAATGCAATTCTCCTCCACATTTCAATGTTTTGGGACTTGCCTCTCACTCCTTTCCCTTCCCAAGGCTGCCTGTCTGTCTCCATGGAAACCATCGCTTAATTAACCCAACGCAGGGAGAGCGCATTACTGGTCCAAATGAAAGCCGCCAGAGCAGCTGCAGCAAGAGCTGGAGCAGAGAGCGAGAAGGAGGCTAAAAGGAGGCAGGCTGCGAGGTGGGCTGTAGCGCAGGCAGGAATCCTGGGCAGCCTGGGCCGCCTCACCCCAAGCAGCGCCAGCACCTCCCGGACAAGTTGCCCCGGCACGCGAAACTGCCAAAGCACAGGCGCCGGGCGCCTGCAGGTCGGGGGCTGGGGACAGACGTGGGTCAGGGCGGATTGCAGGAGCTCCGCGGCACCTGAGACTTCTCAGCCGGGCATCCCCTGCACTTTGACTTCTTCCAGGTGTCTGCTCTTTCCTTCTTTCTCCACCAGTCGAACCATTGTTTAAACCTCCTTTGGTTTATCCTCTGCCTCTCTCTCCCCATTTCAAAAGTTGGCGCTTTTTGACTCTAAAACAGTGCGCGTCAGGGCAAGGGGTCTTTACGCACACCCAGGGCAAACACAGTGACTCACAGAACTGAATTTGAGTGAGGTTTTGGGCTTAAAGATCAGGCATTCAGGAGCTTTCCACTTTCGCATTTTTATTATGGCACACAGCCTTCAAAATTCTAGTTTACGCTTAGGTTTAAGGAGGAAATTAATATCACAGCCCTAGGGATAGAACACTTACCTCAGGTTGTTTGGCAAAATGGGCAAGGTTAAAGCTTTGTAGTTTTGTGGAAAAGTCTGGATTTAATTATTAGGCATTTATTTTTAACTGGATTCCATTTTATCTGAATTGAACACCTGCTTAATAAGAACTAAAGAGGATTCTATAGGAAGAAACTTGCTTTAGAGTGAGGTTTAAGGAGCTTTAAAATTGATCCTGGGGACCTGTTTACTATTAAAATGGTATTTTCAGTTTTAAAAACATATATAAAATACAGGAGTATTCTTTTATTCTTTGTACCTTAAGTTGAATATAAAAGTTTTTAGGTCCTCGGGTCTCCACGTTCCTATGAAATGCTAGGCAAGTTTTTTAGAGGAATATATTTAAAAAATAAATTGAGTTCAAATGAATATTGAACGTTTTTTCTATTTAAGTTTCAGTTTCATCAGCAGTATTGTGAAATATTTTTCATTATGATGGTGTAATTTTAAAATGTAAGGAATTAGTTCCAATGAAGCAGCAGTTGCGTAGGTGTTCTAGATTTCCATTAATTGAGGTTAAATACTTTCACACAATGAGATGTAATTTTGTCTAATTGCCTGGTAATTCATTTTATTTCCAACACCTCCTTTATACTTAATTAAAGCAGTTTCTAGAAACAAGTTGTTATTTGTTGGAAAGTACCAATGTTTCCAATTTTATTTAGTGGAAAAATTATGCAGCACTCACTTATTAATGCCTTAACAGTTAATTGGATGAGCAGTCACTCTAAATTGAAAAGATGTGACATTAAAATGATATACCTACACTCAATTTAAAAAATGTCCAATAGTTTAGTTTTGAAGTTAAAAATATACATATTCAACTGAACTGCATACACTTTACTTTCCAGATGGAGAAATTAATTATCCTACTGCTCTGGTTACAATATGTTGTTAAGGTAAGACATTTTTGAGTGCACCCTCTTTGGAATAATTAGCTAACGGGCAGGATGTGATTGCATTGAGTCTATCATTCTGGAAAATGAGGAGTATATTGAAGTAAAATAATGCTAAATATCGGATACAGAAAGAAAAAAAGTTTTCTTTACTAGGTGTCACTCACATATGTATTTTTATTGTTTAAAAATTGTGTCTTGGATGATCATAGAGATAAGTCAGAATCTAGAAAAAAGGGTATAATAGCGCATTTCAGGGTCGTTTTTGGTAGGAATTTTGAGGAATAGTAGGAATATTACTCTCCTGAGAGTTGAAGTCTTTTTTGTCATTGAGGGAGCGTTAAGGGTCCCTGAACCTGTGGTGTATCGTACTTTGCTAATATTTTCATTACATATAAATGAAATAAGGGTCTAAAATGACCCAGTGTCAAACACTTTGTACCCACAAGTATTTTCTTTGCAAATGTATTGTCAAGAATATCTGCGAAATAATTCCATTTTGTAGACATTATCACCAATGTTCACAATTGGAATTCCAGGAGGATTTGCTGTGTTTTTCCTGTGACTTTGGGTCTCTTCCCCTTCCCTGAACCCAGGGACACATGTTTCCTAGTTCGAGAGTCATGGATCTTAAATTTCCATGTTCTTATTTTATTTGCTTAACATTTTCAAAGTTATAATTATAAATAGAATAACTGACAGAGTAATTCATGTGTAGACACTGACACCACTGAAATGTTTTAAAATTATAATTTGGTATATTTTAGGTGTCATTTTAATAAATCTGTTTATAAAAGAACAACGAAGAGTACATTTTTACTGGTTTTTACAGTTTCTTCTCATTTCCATTTTAGATCTCAAAAAATTTTCATTATATACCAATGAATAAGCAAACAACAGAAGTTTTTATTGAGTGGGATGAATTTCCTAAGGGAGGAAATCCTGAATTTTATTTTTAAAAATATCAACTTGTTAATGATTTTGCTCAAAAAGTAAGAAACCTTTTCTTGGTTCTGATAACAAGTAAGCGTAATGTAAATCTGTTGTTACCAAATACCACATGTTAAATAGGATCCTAATAGTTATCAGGGTTTCTTATTTTATTAATATATAAAATGCTAGCATTTTATGAAATATCTTCAATAAGTAGTTGATCAAACTAGTATTTAACTTTTTCATAGGAATGACTGTCTTTTTAGAATTTGTATACCAAAGGAGAGTAATTATTTAAAAAATAATGTCTTTTATATAGAAATAAACATTTCATGTGTATATTTATATTCTGTATTGAAAAACTGCTTCTTATGAAGGAGATATACAAAAGTCAAATTTTTATTTAATGTGAGTGGCATAGAGATAATGTTGAATAAACATTTTTTAAGCAGATGAATCTAATTATTTACAGAATGTAAAAAGTATTCTTACAGACTCACAAAGGCATCAAAAATTAATAACAGTAGAGGAAAATGAAGACTATCACATCATTTTACAGTCCATGAGATATGGACAAATTTTAAGTGAAAAGTCATTTCAAACTCGTAAGTAATATATATGTTGATCATTTATGTCAACTGTATTATCTATTATAAAAGGTAAAATTTTCATTACCAGATAATTTGAATTTTACAGTATTTAACAGGTATATAATGGTACCGTAAAATTATAATAGTATTATTTTTACATAATATAAATCTCAGAATTAAAAAAAATATATAAACAAAGGTAAGAAATTAGTTTTCAATTTTGGTATTTTATGTGTACTAGTATGAATGGATAGGTATGATGGAGATTTTAAATGTTAGCTAGATTATGTAAAAAATGTAATGTGGCTCTGTAATCTAATGCATTCATTCTATATAGAGTAGAAGAAACTCCCATATAGTCTAGAAAATATTTTATGGGTAGATAATATGTTTTCCCATCTTGTAATCTTGTAACTGTGTTTCATTCAATTTTATTTGAATCTGTACTAATCATTCTCCCTGACTTTTTAGGTGGAATCTCAGCTAGCAATATTAAAACAATAGCAACAAGTACAAGTGTTTCTTTTAACTGGAGCATGCCCTTTTCCAAAGACATATCAGTGTCAATATCTTGTAATAATTCTTCACAAGTTATGCAAAATAATGTTATGGTTTATGAGTGGGGTAATTTAAAACCTGCATCTTTATTTTTTTTTTTATTTATTATTATTTTTTTTTTGAGACGGAGTTTCGCTCTTGTTACCCAGGCTGGAGTGCAATGGCGCGATCTGGGCTCACCGCTACCTCCGCCTCCTGGGTTCAGGCAGTTCTCCTGCCTCAGCCTCC